TTAAAATTTTTTATATGCAAGAGCAAATCTAATTTAGGTAGTTATGTTCTTTATAATTTCGTCTCTTTAAAAAAAGTGTTAAAAAATTTCATCTTTTAAGTAAAATAGGTCAAAAACAATTTTATCTTCAAATTTTAATTTTGTATTCTAAAACCTAAAATAATTTTATCAGTATGTATAGTTTTAAGTTGGTAAATATTTTACTAATCGATTAGTTGCCAACTATAGTTGCAACTAATCAATTGTTTACATTATGTGACATCATCAGATGATTAGCCAATTAAACAAAAGGAATTAATATAGATCTGCCTAATCAAATAGAATTTCTCAGAATTGTACTAGTTGAATGATTAATTGATTAGTTATTTAAAATTTTTTCAAATCAACAGTTGAAAAGTTGACAACTAGTTGGTTTTTTAATTAACGATTTGGAATACTAAATAGTAGTAACTTCAGCTTGTAAGTACTTGTTCTTGAACTTGGCATAAGTTACTAAATATCTAGATTAGCTAGATTATGAGTAAAAAAAACTTTAGTAACAATGTCTTGAAAATAAAGTAGTTCTATAGAGAATAAGTTAAGTATTCAAGATTTTTGACTAATAAATGTAATAAAGATATAATAGTAATACAGATAGAGTTGTATTACAGAAAATTTAAATGAGTAATATTCATAGTTGGATTACAGGTACAATATCTAATGTAGAACCTATAATGTAAAAAGTTATAGACAGATTGCTTAAATTAAACACCAAAAATATATGTGTAGCTAGTTATACTCTTTAATATATAGGTTTTTATGAAATATTAAACTACAAGCTTCTCACTTAACAATACTTGAATAAAAATTTTAACCCTAAAGAGGCTAGTTTAAAAAAAAATTAGATTATTTATAAACCAAAAATATACAATTTTAAAAATAATTTTTTTAAAAAAATATTTTAGTTTATCTATAACAAACTTTTTAAATATTAATTTTAGACCTATAGTTTTTAATAATTTTAAAAAGTTTTTTAATAAAGTTAATAAAGTAGATCTTTAAAAATATATTTTACTTAAAAAGTATATTGCTAAAATTAATATTTAAGATTTTATTAAAAAATTAGAATTTAAAAAAATAAATGCAGACAAATTTGTCTGTGTTATAATTTAAGATATATATATATATGAGAGAAGTCAATAAAAAAGGGACAAATTTTTTCTAAGTAAAAGTTTCTTAACTTTAAACTTAAATATTTTAAAACTATCTAATCAAATTGGATAATTTTTTTATTTTAATTCTATATAATTTTAAGATTAAAATAAAAAAATTTTTATCCAATTTGATTAGATAGTTATTAAGATATTTTAATTTATAAAAATTAAAAAAATTTTACTAAAATGATTTGTCCCTTTTCTATTGACTTCCCCCCATATATAATTTCTAAAATATAGCAATAGACAAAGGGGAAAAAACCTATCGAAATTCGCACAAATTTCAGGTATGACAGCTAGAACAACCATTCCCTAAATAGGCAATAACCAAAGTTGTACTTTAGCTAATTGTATTATCGTTCCTGTAAATTAGCACGTACGTAGGTAGTTGCCAAAAAGTGCAATACCGTATTTAATACTAATAAAACTCCGACCAAAGAAGTCATCTTAAAAATAAAAAAGGCCCACCATAATATCACGTGTTACGTTTAAATTAAACCATTTTTAGCATTAAACTGAGGCGGTGAATTACTTGTGGCTGTTTTTATTTATTTATTACGAATACCTTTATGAGAAAGGCTATGCGAAATTTTACTTTTTGTACGCATTTAAAATTCGAATGAAATTCTCATATGTTCATTTAGGAAAATATTAGTAGAATCACATCATAATCATTTTCCGTCAAATGCTTTGATAAGAAAAGGTTTAATATTCTTATCGGCATTTCCAATTTAAATAGATAATTGGTTAACCATTGTTTGTTTTAGTTCATTGTACATTTTTTATGCAGGTTTGATCTGTTTTGCAAGGAATTATTTTTATCTTTATCAAGCATAAGGCTCGTCAAAATACAACCAAATATAGTTGAGGTCGTATTTTTAAAAGATTTGATCTGGCCGGAACTTTGTTTTCATTTAACATTTTGTAATTTATGGTTATAGCAAAGCCGCGTACGTGCGTGCGTATATATATGTACATATTTTATTTTAGCAAAGCCAATCTTTTTTTAAAAACAATTGTATTGTTGAAATACAGGTTTAATTCAAGTTGAATAATTGTTAAGCCTCAAGTTCTTTCGTAAATTTAAAGTTCTCTCTGTTTTTCATTAAATATTAGGTGCAGTTTTTTAAAAAAAAATCAAAATGGTTGAATTTTTATGCGGGTTGTAAGTGTTTTAGATTATTTTCCATATATTCCATATGGATTATATTACAAGTTTTGTCAAAATTTTTTAGTATTCCCCGTATTTCCCCTCGTTTCGGTACTATTATTTTTGCAGCAGTCAGTTTGGCGAGTATTTTTATATTATAATTAAATATATATGGGGGTGTCAGTAAAAACCAAGCAAATTGTTTTAGTGAGTTTTTTTAAAAGTTTAAATTAAAATATCTCAACAACTATTAAACCAAACTTGATAAAAATTTTTTTATTTTAATTCTATAACTAAACAGAATTAAAATAAAAAAAATTTTATCAAGTTTGGTTTAATAGTTGTTGAGATATTTTAGTTCAAAGGTTTAAAAAAATTTACTTATAAACAATTTGCTTGGTTTCTATTGACACCCCATATATTTATCATTTGTTTTGAATTTTGATTTCTTTAAATATCTATGAATTAATCATGTGAATATACATGTATTATTTTATATAGTTCATTTCCTCATGGTTTGCAGCAATTTATCTAGCAAAACCGGAAGGTATGTAATTTATATCGTCGCGTAATTTTTGTATCATTATTAATATTATACACATTATTAGACTATGTACCCGATATGTCAAGGGGACTCACGTTGGTATTCGGTATAGCATTCATTATTATGGCATTGGTCTCCTTATTTGGAATCATTGGTTCACTTTTTGTTAGCATTCATTTATTTTTATGTATTTATTTTTTTTTATTATAACTAATTAATAATTCATTTAAATAGGAAATTTCAACTGCTGTTCGTGTTTTTTCTAATATGCTATGGGGTTTTGTCATAGTCAATATAATTATTGCTATTATTATTATTGTTAATTTAGTTCAGAATAGGCAATACGAGGTTGATAACTGTATTCAACATTTACAAAAACAACAAGATAGTAATGCTATAAGTGAGTCACTACAAACTAATACGGAAATTTGCACACATAACGAGACCATGCTTATTGTACGAAATGTCATTATAGCAATATTATTAATACTGTTCAGTGTAAGTGTCTGTATATATGTGTTTCATGTTTGAACATCGATAATAATTTTAAAATTCTTTTTTTGCAGACACTTTTCGCTAGAGTTTCATCTTCTTATGCTCAACAACTTGAAAAAAAATCTTCCAGACGTGGTAAAATAACACCAGCACCTGGTCTTCCACCAACAGTCGCGAGTTATACTACTATAGATTATCCGAGCTAGAGCGCAAAACTTTTTTTTTAAAAAACAATGTATGACGCATACGATATGAATTTTGATTTAAATCACGTGATGTCGATTTATTTATAGACTTTGGGCATTAAAAAACAATTTCATCATAATTATATATTCACGTCTTTTTATTTTTTAATAAAAATATTTTTGTCACATAACATTTTAAAAAGACTGTTACTACAGTTTTTTTAAAATGTCATCGGTGGCGGGTATTAACCAATTGGTTAAAAATCGATTAATCGATTAATCGATTAAAAATTTTCAAGCAACCACCGTGTAATGCTGTTTATAGTACCCCAATTTTATACAACATACCCCTGCCCTATAAAAAAGTTTATTTGGTTTTTGTTCAGTTTTTGTCAACATTGTTCAAAAAATGTTCGGAAAGTTGCTATAAGTATAAAAAAAACAGGACAAAAATACTATATTCTTGATTCATAGTATTTATTCTGTTTTATATATGTTTTGAATAATCTGACAAAGATAGAAAAACTTTTATTTATAGGATTGACTAGCCTGAATAGTACCTGGTAAAAGTGTATATAAAAGGGTATTATACAAAAAACAATTAATTAAAAAGGAAACATACTTATTAGTGCAAGTATTAAAAAAATATATAAACCAAGTACGAGTATATCAGGGCGGCCCCCCCAAAGTTCGGGTCGATGATCGACATCGGGCGTCGGATAGATGATCGACATTACTGCCGCAGCTTATCGCGATTATCCACCGCCATTGTGGCATTGATCATCGACCCGGACTTTGGGGGGGCCGCCCTGATATACTCAACCAAGTACACCCGCAATAGTTGCAATTTTTTAAAGTTATATACTAATTATTTATGGTTATTATAAAATTGACTTTTACTATAATTATACGATACGTATGATTATTACTATAACTATACGATTGATTATCACTATAACTATACGATATAATTATTACTACAGTACTATAGGATGTTCTATAGAATAGGTGGGCAAACTCCGCAAACTCCACAACTCCACTATTAAAAAATTAATGATTACTAATCATTAGCGAAGCTTATTTCTTATTTTGCCCACCTATTCTATAGAATATCCTATAAATCTTTATTTAGGTTTAATTAATACATAGTAATATAGATTTTTATTTTTCTAAATACAATATCTCTTTAAATACATGTTTGATTAAATTTATATATACTGTATATACTGTATAATTTTATTACTAGACAAATTTAATTATTTATAAATTTTATTTTTGTTATTTTTTTTATTTTTTTATTTTAATAATCTTGCTTTTATTATTTTAATTAGAAGTATTAGAAAATTATATTGGTAGTATAACTAATCAGAATTTTCTATACTATAATCTTATATATTAATAAAAACTCACTTGGCATTAAAATCTAATATAATCTGTTTTAGTAGCCAGTTTGCTTTACTTTGGATTCTCAACTTACTGAAAATTTAGTTTTTCTGATTATGAGCTAAGAATTAGCTTCTTATATCAAGATACAAAATAAAATATAAATAAGTATTAAAAAATAGGAAATTGCTAATTTGTACCTCAGGTGATGATCACCTGTAGCAAAATTATCTTAAAATTTTGTTTATAAAATCACTTTTGAGGCTCTAAGTAAAAAAATTCCTTGTAAAATTTTACTATAAACCTTACTAAACTCTAACCCTAATATAAGCTCTGACTCTTACCCTAAAGATTTAAAAAAAAAACTTTTTTTATT